TTCGAAGAATATGAACTTTCTAAAAAAGAATGTCAACGATGTTTAGAAAAAACAATTCTTTGTAAGTGGTTTATGCGATTTAAAGATGAATTTTACGATTGCAAAGTTTCTGAGTGTTCTTCTAGAAATATAAAATACCACTGTTACGAGATTTGCAAGAACTGTTATGATATTTATTTATTAAATCTTGAAGATCACACCTTCTGTATTTAGTTCCTTTTTTTATTTATTAAAATCTATATAAACCCCTAGAAAAATCCTTTCTTTGTTTTTTTATAATAGAATTAACTGTTTCATTAGAGATCAGTTCAAATCTATCTTTCTGTTCGATCGAACTTGCGAAAACCTTCTCCCTTTGTCTATCAGTAGTTTGTCTCACATCTATCTTTGTAATTTTTCTCAATTCCAATAAACAATCATCTAATCAGTTCAAGACTAATTAGATTTTTCTTCGCGTATATTATTATTTTATTATTTTAAATTAAGGTAAGAGAGCTCTAACTGTATCTTGTTTAGGAATTCGCTTTCTTCACATTGTACTAACTCTCAATTCACTCTCTGGTAATTTATTACTCTTGTTTAATTCAACATCGTTGAATGACTGCAAGATGTCAAATCTCACATATTATTCAATGTTAGGTTACTATGCGGTTCGTGTTGGTCGTGAACCAGGAATATACTTATCATCAGATCAATGTAAAGAACAGATTCACAAATATCCTAGTGCCTTGTATAAAAAATTTAATACAAAACAGCAGGCTGAAGATTTTATTAAACCGATAGAAGATATTAAGAACTATCTATCAGTTTGGACTGATGGTTATTGTTATAATTGTAAAGAAATAAATAGTTGAAAATATTATTTAGGAAAATTAAAATCAATCACTGGTGTTGGAGTATTTTTTGCTGACAATGATGATCGAAATCTGTCTGAAAGATTACCAGGCGAAATTCAAACAAACAACCGAGCTGAACTATATGCTACTATACGAGCATTAGAAATTGTTGATAAACTACAGATATTGTTATAAATACAGATAGTATGTATGTGATTTATTCATACAACAACGAAACACCTAAGCAAAATACAGATCTAGTTAATAGATTTAACGATTTGATCAAAGAACGAAAAGGCAAAATATATTTTAATTATGTGAAAGAACATAGTGGCATTTATGAGAATAAACAAGCAGATAGATTAGCATATTTAGGTTCAAAAAAAAATTTACTAGATTAGAAATACCAACATCCAAAAGATTAATCGATCATTATTTTATCAAGAAATCAGTTGATAACTCAGAAAACTCATGTGATTCTTATATTGATGAATTTATTCGTATATTACAAATCTTAGAGGTAGATAAAGACGAAGGTAAATTAATACTCGAAACAAAAAATAAAAATATATATCTGATGTTTATTGAAAAGAGAATCGATAAATGGTTAAAGAATGGTTGGGTCACAGGGAAAGAAAAAAACAAATTGAAAGCGCTTAAAGATATTTGTTTACGAATCAATGAGATAATCAAAAATAGAAAAAATGCAATTGAATATATTTATAAATCTAAAAGAAAGAGAAATTAATTTTTTTTTTATAATAAAATTTCATTTAAATTAAACTATTATAAGTAAATCCAAATTTTAAAGATCATATCTCAAAAACGTCGCAGGCTTTCAGTCAAGATGGCGTTTGTAGGACGATCTTTAAAATTTTCGATGAAAAAAAAAAAAGAGTGAGGAGAGAAGAAAGAAAAATACAAGTACTATACTACTACTGCCTTGCAGTCCATTTCAAACACGGAGTTGAATTAAACAAGGGTAATAAATTACCAGGAAGTGAATGAAATTATTTAGTTTGCTGTGTTTGCTACGCGATTCGTGATGAGATTGGAATCGAATCGTATCATCGATTCATACATTATATGTATCGACGATTCGTGTTCACGAATCAACGTAAAAACAAGCAAACTTTATTAAAGTTTCTAATCAGTTTTTCAAACCGATTAGATTTTTCTTTATGTAATTTAAAATGTCTCATTCGAGTAATTCCGATTCTGAAAAAGTTAAAAAAGAAACTGCAAATCTCACGTGGTTCAGAGAGAATGAAAATACAAATTATCGAAGACCAATTATGTTTCCTGACAATGATGGACACATAACCGAATATACTCAAATTAAGTTGAGCAATAAACAAAATGCTCTTCTTGACAGAAAGCATCGAGACTTTTTGAAGCAACATAAGTTTATTCTTGATAAAGACAATAATATTATCGAAG